GGCTACGACCAGTGGTGTCGCGCCTACGACGAGGACCAAGACATTAGAGAGCGTCTGTCTGCGAGTCCGACACAGCAGTGGTTCGACCCAACGGGAGGTTTGGACCTCACGGGCAGTCAGTGGCTGTCCTACGACGAGATGGTCGGCGGGCGTCGGATGACCGATACGATCGGTCATCCGATGGCCCACTAAAGGGTTCGGGCAGTCGTGTGGGTGAAGAGGCGGGGAGTGTATGAGTGGTGAGTCTGGACACAGAGCCATAGGTGACCCGTCAGCGACCCTTTCATCCCTTCGGGCCTTAGGATAGACACAGAGCCGCCGGCGACCCGTCTACAGACCATCGCAATAACCATCGTTACACTCCCCCTGTGGTGACCACAACATCGGCACCACCTCTTCACCAACTCTTCACACGATTGGGGCCATGCGGGCCGAACCGCCGACACCCGGGCGGACACCGTTGGGGCCTTAGGAGCCGCACCGCCACAACAGGCGGACACCATTGAAGCTCTTCGAGCAGATCCGCCACAACAGGCGGACACCGTTGAAGCTCTTCGAGCCGAGCCGTACCGCCGACAACAGGCGCCTTCAAACTGGGCCACACGGGTCGACGTCCGCCGCCTTTTGAGTTTAGTTTAAAAAATAAATAGTTTTCTAAAATTGATTGCAATTAACATTTATTTCAAACATTCAATTCTCATAACACTTACTGTCCGTCCGTTTAATCAATGATTATTTATAAAAACATATTATTAATTAATTAGCAAGAACAAAAAGTCATTCATTTACAGTAGTATTTATTCAGAATATATTTTACAATTAATGTTAAGTAAATTACATAATTAATTACAAAGAGATTTCGTGACAAAACTTTGATCAAAAAGTCACAAAACGAGACCTATTTGTAAATAATGACAGCATCTGTACACTCATTAGATGCTATATAAATCATAATCAGTGATCACATACACTATTTGCCCTAGGTCACTATTATATTAAGTATTGATTTCCAGTAGTGTATGTGTTAGAAGTTATTTTTCAAACTTTTATAATCAATAATAAACTTCTCAAAGAAATAAAATACAAAATTCATATCAAAGCACAAGTTCCCGGAGCAAACAGTGTTTAAAAACTCCGGGCGCTCTCTATTTGATGCATACACATACACCGCTATATACTGTACTGATTAAAATCAAATATTGATATTTACCAACATGATCATTCTATTTATACAAATGTAAAACTATGAGCTAATTAACAAAATTTAAAAAAAACATATTTTACTTGTTATAACAACTGGATCCATTAAATAGCATCACATTTGATGACCTTCAAGAACTGATCAGTGGATTATTTGATGGATATGGGCATTAGGAGAAAAGGAGGGTGTGTGGTTAAGATTTAACTGGATGAATTTTGGTGCTAATAGACCCAGAATTAATGTTTTTAATGTTATCTAACGTCCTTGATCATTCAAAACACTTATAGTTTTGTGTCGATTAATTAAAAAGTGAATTGTGTTTCTCAATCACAATCCTATTGTCAACACAATAGCTGGTGTTTAAGTACAGTATAAGTAGTTATTTATATGGGTTATACTTTACTACATACAGTATACTGCACTGTATTTTGTACTTAATGTATTATATAACTGTATGAAACTAGATAATTTTATATATACTGTATAATATACAGTGTATATGTTATGTATCGATCGAAACAATTTCATTATAAAATCCATAGATAACTCGGTTGGAGGTCCGGGTATTTTCGATGGGAATATAAACGTCTGTTTCTAACTATATATTGGTTTATATAAAGAAATTGTTAAGTTTTTATTTTGCTTTGAAAAAATAACATTTTGTTTGCTCTCTATTTATTTATTGATATCATTTATTGAGAGAGAATTGAAAAAACAGTTTTACCGACATAAAAAAGTTATGTTCAAAGTAATTGCTTTTTGCCTAACGGTTGGCGTATTGGGTAATGTCTGCGCCCATCGAGTGGTTGAGGACAGGGATTACGTACTAAAAGCCTTTCAGGCGGCCGGAGGTTTCGATGGCTTTCAAGACATCCAAGTATTTCGCGACAATTACAAGAAATCTGTGGACAAGTCTTTGGCCGAATTGCCCGCGAATATCAAACAGTTTCTCATAACGAAGGCCGACAAGTCTAACGGCGAGGGATGGGTCTCTAAATTGGTATAGATTTTTAAATACCCAGAAAATATATCCCAAAATCTGCCAAAAAAAACTAATCAAATTTAACACCAATTTGTGATTTTATGCCAAAAGGCGTCCCAATATCTAGAGTTCGTGACGACCGGCAATAGAGTGCACTTCGAGACCACGGATACCAACCGTAGGGTACAGTTAGTGAATCTGGTTATCGGCGAACTGTTGACCAGAAACGGCACTTATATGAAGCAAATTGTCAATGGATTGTGGCTTATACTGGAGGAGAGCAGTTGGGAAACACCCGCACACATGAATATACAAAAGGCCGGTCAGTAAAACTCATCAATACATAAATAATTCTATGCCCTAAATGCTATTTGTTTAGCCTAATAACCCATTATTACATTAATGATATTTGTTTACATATTGATTAGTAAGTTATTAATAGTAAAGTGTATAGGAATTCAAACAATTATCAATTACTTTCTAAACAGTAGCTCAAAAAAACGATAGCAAAGCATTACAATAATTAAAACATTACGATAAGACTGTACTCACGGCATATGCACTGATAAAATAAACACTTTTCCACCTTAATAAAAAAACAGGTCCGGGACTGCCCGACCCGGAACAGCCAATCATCGACCTTCGGGTGAGCGAAATGGTGTCCACCGTTGCGATCATCAAACTCTTGTTGCGCGAAGAGTTGACCAAAATGAACAAACAGGGAATGTTTATCAAACGTATTGACCACGAGCTGAAACAGCGGCTCATTTTACCATATTTGAATTACGACGACTACTTCTGGCTCGGGTTGAAGGGCAACAAAGTGAACAATCATAACTCGTGGATCAACTCAAACATCTTGCGCGCGGCGCTGTTGGCCATCGACGACCGGACAGCCCGGCATCAAGTGGTCAACCGTAGTATCTATAGTATAGACAAGTTTATCAATTGGTATCCGCGCGACGGCGGCTGCGATGAGGGGCCGACTTATTGGGGTTGGGCCGGGGGTCGGCTCGTCGACTATCTGGAACTGCTCGGCGATGTCAGCGGCGGTAAAATCGATTGGTCCACGAATAAGCTGCTGGATCTGATCGGCACATTCATCTACAAAGTGCATATCGCCGACAATCGGTACGTGAACTTTGCCGACGCGCACGCCGTCGTAGAGCCGGAACAGTCGGCTGTCTATAAATACGGTCACCTCTTCAAGGATGAGACAATGAAACACTTCGCCGCATACGTCGGTCAACGCGAGGACAACTACGAGTCGGTGAAGTCGGTGTCCGACTTCTTGGGCTCGCTGTCCATATTTGTGTCGACTCTCGTGTCGTACGCGAGGGTGAAGGCCGTGGAGCCGAAGGCACCGCTTCCGCAGACTTTCTACTTCGAGGACTTACAGGTGTTTACCGCCCGCACAGAAGCCGGTAATTGAGTTGTTTATGGACTCTCTCTCTCTCTCTCTCTCTCTTAATAAATAAATATCTCAAAAATTGTCTCCAAAACACCCTTAAGGGTCACCGAAAGGGCTGTTCATAGCGGGAAAGGGCGGCACAAACGATGAAAGCCATAACCACAACGATGTCGGCAATTATATCGTATACGTGTCGGGAAAGCCGTTCATCATTGATGTCGGTGTCGGCGTCTATACGAACGAGACGTTCGCCAAAGACCGGTATAAGATATGGTCGATGCAAAGCCAGTGGCATAACTGCCCCACAATTAACGGTGTGATGCAGAAGAATGGCAAGCAATACGTGGCCCGCGATGTTGTCTATAAGACAACAGCCGATACCGTGGAGTTTAGCGCCGATATCGCCGGCGCCTATCCCTCGGAGGCTGCGGTCAAGTCCTATAAGAGACATATAGTGTTCGACCGAAAGCTCAACACAATTACAGTGAGAGATGATTACGAGCTGAAGAAGTGGTTGAAGCCATTGAACGCCCATTTTATCACACATTTGAAGTCCGAGACGAGAAGCGCCGGTAGTGTTGTGTTAACCGACGCGGACAACACCCGACTGGCCATGAAGTACGAGTCGGATGTGTTTGATGTGGTCGTAGACACGCATGTGATTGACAAAGAGGACACTCTTCTGAGGGATGTTTGGGGCGATTCTGTCCACAGAATTACATTAGTTGATAAACAGTCAGATAAGCTCAAGTCGACGTTTGTTACCACGTTCTCATTGCCCTAATTGTTTGGCTACAAATGAAATTATCATGCTCATTTGTTATCTAGATTATATTTTTGTGCTATTAATAGTTCATAATCTGTTTGTGTGTTTTTTGTGTGATTACAATCACTAAAACAGATTGTATTGTAATTATAATTAATTAATTGTTAATAATTATGTTGATAATATTTCAAATATAATATATACAAAAATAAATTATTTGTTTAAAATGATTTGTGCAATTTTTTAAATGTAATTTATCAAGATTAACGGCAAGTTTATCACTACATTTCAAAATTAATTTACGTACAGAAACACAAAGTGTCTGTGTACTGTACCTAGCTAGTTTGCACTGGTTGTGCACTTGTAATGAATAATCCCGGTGCTAAACTATCCTAACAATTGTAAGTCTAATGTACACTATATAAAAGTCTTATTATCTGATGATTGATTAGAAAAACAATTGCTATGAAGTGTATTGTTGTTTGGATAGAGAGGAGAGAGAGAGAGAGAGAGAGAGA